AACACCCAAGGGGGGAGGGGACCAAGAGGGACAAAGAGTCCTCTTGCACCTAGCAATGAAAGCAATCTTTTTCCAATTTCTTTGTAAGTCATCCATAGGAAAGTCTAAAAACAACTCTAAAGATTTTAGCCAATGGACAGCCCTTAGAAGGATTAGTTCTAACAATTCTTCCAGGGTTCTTTCCTTATTTGAAAAAATACATGAGTTCTTTCTTCCCACAATGACCAACACACAACTGCCCTAATACTCCTCCACATAGTCTTCCCTCGCTTCTTAGGCCATCGGAAAAAAGGAGAGAACAAACTTTGGACACTCTCTGGCAGATTCCAAGAACACCTAAAACGGGAGAAAACCCACTCCCACACAATTTTAGCAACCTTACAAGAGACCATGAGGTGGTAGCCAGATTCCTCATCAGCTTTACAAGAGCACATCTAATAGGAAGTAGACAATAATTGGGTCTCTTTCGCTAGAGTAAGTCAAATGTGTTTATTCTTTCCAGGAACATTTGCCAACAAAAAAAAAAAAAAAAACAACCCGAGGAGGAATAGGCTTGCTCCATATTTCCTTAGCTGGAAATGACAACCAAGAAAGGACAGAAGGGTGAGTTAAGGTTTCAAAGAATGAAGCACAAGAGAAAGTACCAGAGGTAGAAGGGGCCCAAAATCTAGTGTCTTCCTTATCAGGATTTAGGAAGACATTCTCAAGGGTGGCTAACAAAGGTAACAAGCTTTCCAAGTCTATATCCCTAATTGCCCTCCGAAGGCCTAGGTTCCACCCAAAACCAAAAGTGGAGTCTGAAGGAACTAAGCAAAAAGAGATAGGTTCATTTTTCAAGTCAAACAAAGCATACAAGGATGGAAACTGGTCCTTCAAAGGTGAAACCCCTACCCAAGGTTGTTCCCAGAATTTTATTCTGTTACCAAAGTTTAGACCATACCTAATCCAAGGGGAAAAGAGTAGAAGCAGATTGTGAATGGATTTCCAAAGAGAAGCAGTTGTAGACCTTGCCAAGATTCCAGGATCCCAGCCATTGTCTTCCAACCCATGTATGCTTGCCACAACCTCAGTCCACAGTTTATCCCTTTCCATTGTAAACCTCCACAACCATTTCCTTAGCAGAGCCATATTCCTTTTCTTGATGTTACCAATCCCAAGACCTAGATTTTTGCACCTAGTTATCACCTCCCAACTCACCCTATGATCTCTCTTCTCCTCTCCAGGCACCCACAGAAAATTCCTAATTAATTTTTCTAGGAGATTGGAGACCTTAGAAGGGATCTTAAACACTGACGGGTTGTAGACCGGTAGGTTAGCTAGGGTAGACCTAATGAGAGTGACTCTCCCTCCTAAAGAAAGATGGTTTCTCTTCCAAGCTGCCAATCTCTTCTCAAACCTCTCCACCACCGGATTCTAGAAACTTACATTCTTAGGGTTTTCTTCAAAAGGTAGGCCCAAGTATGTCAAGAGCCAGTCTGAGATTGCACACCCTAACTCACCTGCAAATTCCCTTAGGTCCTTCTAATCTTTGTTCACTCCCACCACACAACTCTTATCAAAGTTCACCTTGAGGTTAGAAATCTGCTCAAAGAGTTGTATTGCCAACTTTAGATTCTGAATCCAATTAATGTCCCCCGCTTCACAAAACAAGATTGTGTCATCTTCAAACTCTAAATGTGTTAGAGGAACCTCCTCCCTTCCTACACCCCACCCTCTTATCGGATTCCTCAAGTCTGCTTTATGGATCAATCTCCCAAGTGCATCAGCAATCAAGGTGAAAAGGAAAGGGGAGAGAGGGTCTCTTTGTCTTACTATAAATACTTCTATTACTATAAATAAACATTTTATATGCATGACTATTTTATATTCTAGTTTTCTTTTTGTTTTTATTTCTTTAATTTTTATGAACATTTTATTTTAAACATTAAGTTTAAATATGTGTCAATATGAGTAATTTACATTAACATAAATATATTAAATTTTATGCATTTAAATAATATACTATTTTATTTTAGTAAGTTTTAACTTATATACTGATTTATTATGCTTTTACAAACTTATCTGATTTTTTCTTATTGTTAATTTTGATTTATTATAAATATTAATATATTTATTTCACACTAGTAAATAAAAATACATTTATTCTGATGTTTTTAAATATTAAAGTTATAATACATTATGTTTTATTATAAATTTAATAATCTGATTCTCTTTTTCTTAGTATTAGGACTCAAATAAATTTTGATTTTTTTTAAAACTTAATGAATTTATTCTATTTTTTAATACTAAATTTATAGTAAATTATGATTTAGTGTAAAATTTAATAAATTTATTCTATCTTTTATATTAAATTTGGAACAAATTATGATTTATTATAAAATGTAATAAACATTTTTCTGGTTTTAATAAATATTTTGCTCTTTTTTTGTTAATTTACTGATTTAATAAATTATGATTTTTTTGTTAATAAAATTTTCTGATTTAATAAACATTTAAACAATTTACTCCCCTTTTTGTTAATTATTTTTATAAATATTTTTTTTGAAATATTAAATATAAATTATTAATGGAATAATTTATTCTAAACATTAAATATAAAATAATACAATACAGTATATATTAATGGAATAATTTATATTAATATACTGTATTATATTAATATAATATTTCCAATATATTATATTATCAAATTAACAATACTAAATAATATACTGCATTATATTAAAAATACTATATAATATACTGCATTAAATTATATTAACAAGACTAGATAATATACTAAATTACTAATATATTATATAATAGACTGTATTATATTAAATAACATACTATATTATATTAAAAATACTGAGTAGTTATTTTGTTGAAGGTCTATATTATTACAGTAGACCTTCATCTACTGTAGAGCATCTACCTAAATTAATGTATCTATTGTGATGCTCTATGGATATTTAATAAACCATCATACATCATATTTAAACTTTTATACTTAACAATTTAACAACAGTCAACGCATAATCTATTCATTCAAAAGAGGGAAACCGTAAAGCTGAGAGCCTGAGAACGCTCTCAGGGAGCTCTGCTTCAACTTCAAAGTCTTCAACCTTCGGTCCTTCTGTCCTTTACAAATCACATCTGCAAAACCCAAAACTTGAAGATCAGCTTCAAATTCCAGGCTTCCGGTAGAAGTTCAGCCTCAAGTTTTTGTTTTCTTTTTTTTACTCCTAAAAAATTTGAAAAAGGTACGCTCTTACGGTCTTACCTGAGTTGGAGAATGGTTGGGAGCCTTAAAAACCTGAGATGAAAAGTGGTTGATGCTCACTTGCTCGATTGCTCAAGACTCCAACTCCAACTACAGCCTCCAAGTCTCCAAGACTCCAACTCCAACCGGTTGCTGATGCAACCTCCAAAAGACCAAAACCAAGCCTCAACTCCTCGTTCCAGACTTTTGCTCCAGTAATAAAGATGACCAGTATTAGAATTTTATTGTCCCTTGCAGCCAATTATTCTTGGCCCTTGTTCCAGATGGATGTCAAAAATGCCTTCCTCAATGAAGACTTGCAAGAAGAAGTCTACATGCAGTTGCCTCCTGGATTTTATGATGCAGAGACAGGAAAGAAGGTTTGCCGGTTGAATAAAGCTTTGTGTGGATTAAAACAATCCCCAAAGCTTGGTTTGATAGATTCAGACAAGCCCTTGAAAGGTTCAGCCATGTATAGGCTCAGTCAGACCATACATTGTTCATTAAGAGAGTGGATTCTTCCTTGACCTTGCTTGCTGTATACGTGGATGATATTGTAGTGATAGAGAATGACAATAGTGAGATTGAGTCTCTCGAACAACTCCATCAAGAATTTGAGGTGAAAGATCTGGGAGAGCTACAATATTTCTTGGGTATTGAGGTAGCTAGATCTAAACATGGGATTTTTGTTTTTCAAAGAAAGTATGTTTTAGATTTATTGGAAGAAACCAGAAAGTCAGGTATTAAGCCTGCAGATAAACCTATTGAACATAATCAAAAGATCAATGCAGAGGGTGGAGAGCCACTTGAAGATAAAGTTATGTTCCAGCAGTTAATTGGAAAACTCCTCTATTTTTGTCTCACACGACCAAACATTAGTTATACGGTCAACGTTGTCAGTAAGTATATGCACTCTCCTAGGACTACTCACTTACTTGTAGTTGAGAGGATATTAGCATATTTGAAGAGGTTTATACAAATGCTGATTGGGCTGAGAGTATTGATGATAGAAGGTCTACCTCTGAAAATTGTGTTCTTGTAGGAGGTAACCTAGTCTCCTGGAGGAGTAAGAAGCAAAGTGTTGTTCCTCATTCTAGTGCAAAAGCAACACAGGTTCATGGCTAATGGTGTGGCTGAAATCCTATGGTTGAAATCACTATTTGAAGAGTTGGGTATTGCTTATGAGAAGCCCTTAATGATGTATTGTGATAATCAGGCTGCTATTTATATAGCTCATAATCCAGTACAGCATGACAGAACTAAGTATATTGAAGTAGACTGACATTTTGTCAAAGGGCTTTATCTCGAGTTCCCAACTTGAGGGGGAGTGCAAAGAACACTGATATGGTTCTCACAGTGTTCGTATGGTAGCAATATTTCTGTCAGATATGACAGTGTTGGTAGTTATTTCAATTAGTTATATTCAGCTTTATTATTAGTTATTTCTTATTCTATTTTCCATGTAAGCAATAAGGGCAACTCAACCCTTTTACAGTTAACCAATAATTATAAATACTAAGAGAAGATCGGCAGAAATTATGACCTACTCTCTCTCTTTTCTGAAACTCTCTTCATGTACTTCTTTTCTTCCCCTCTTCTCTTCTCTTCAATTTTTCTTCCTTTTTTCTTTTTAATTCAAGACTTATTGCAGTCTAGATCGACTACTTCATTTATTAGCAATATTTTACAAATAGCTACAAAAATCTCTATTTCAAAATGCATTAGATTTAAAAATGTAAAAGCTATCAAAGATGCATACCTCGTGTTCGTCAAGATCAGTAGAATAGACCACAACTGGACTTATTAGCAAGTCCACTCCAGGAGGAGGCCCTTCAAAATCAATATAAATCCGTCCAGGTATAGTTTGCAATGAGAATGTGCCTTCCAAAATTTCCCATTTGTCCTTTGATGCATTGACTCTGCAGCCAGAAAACATCAAGTAAAAAATCAATGACTGAGGCCATTATTATCACTATAATGTAAAAGGAATTGCTTCTACCTTCTGATTAGTACAAATTTACGTCCCCCCGTCACCCATATCGTTAGTTGGGCTTGCACTGAAGATAATCCACGGACAGGCCCCCAAACTCTGACATAAGTAGACACAGTATAAGTAGCACCTGGAGACACTCTTGCTGTGATATCTTGTCTTAGGCCTTGCCAGTAAGAATTCCGATTCAGAACAACACAATAATTTTTTCGTGAGATTGGTTTAATTCCAGAATAATAATCTGGATTTTTGGAAACAAGTCCACCACAGTTATCAAGGTCCCAGAAACTCAGATCATTTGAGAAATCATAATTTCGGATGATGTTTCCTTCAGTATTAATCCACATGCTCTTTTATGACAAGGAAAAACAGCAGAATCAATAAAACCTTGTAGTTACGCTACAAACAAAGATAACCTATGGAATTACATTACAGAAATCTCAATTTACAGAATGGGAAACTGCAACTGAATTTGAGTGTTGAAGAGATAAAAGTAGAACATAATGCTAAATTAACTAAACATAACTGTCCAAGGTTTTTGGTTTTGTTTGTCCATTTAGTTGTAGAAGGGTGTATCTATTAGATTGAAAAGAAACAACCCAACAACCACTTTGATAGAGGCATACCTAGTTTAAGGGCAGAAAAAGGATGCAATACTTCCTTTAATCTCCAAGAGACATGACTATTTTAACAATCACTACTCTGGGGTGCCATTGATCTACAAATAGTTAACAGACAAGAGTTTCATGTTGTTGATGCATCTGATTCTCAACAAGTGCATCTTTTCATTTTGACTTCATTTACTGCTCTTTTTTCGTGGCCTTTAATGTTATAACTTATAAAAGCCAGGTTTTTCTCTTTTTTTTGAATATTTTATTGAATGAGCATGTACTGAATGCTGAGTATCCCCCAAGAAGTGTCAATCATTCTATTGAGGCATTTCCTCACCCTAAAGCTAGTATCTCACAATAATTTCCCCAAAACATTTGTGCCCTGTTCACCCCTTCTCTAGCCATTGCAGCGACTAGCACATTTGCTGATCAATAATTCCAAGTGAAGCTTCCATTTACTTCGGGAGCCAAGCTTCTCAACTCCTGCAAGTAATACCAAAATTGTCTAGGGCCTTGTTTGTTTCATTGCAGCACCACCTTTGAGTCCCCCACTACCACAGTATTCCTCAAGCTTAAAGTCATTGCCATTCTTAATCCCTGCAGAACAATTAACAGCTCAGACCTGATTGAGTTTCCTACCCCTATGGGCACAGGAAATAATGCCATACTGCTCCTGGATCCCCACGCTGCAGGAGTCTATTGCAATGAGACCACATTCCTATGGTGCAGAAAGAGTGCTATTATACTCCAGCTCCTTAGAAAATCTTCAATTGAAATTTCTTCAAAAGGCCTTAATGTTCTGAAACAATATACAGCCTTGATTTGTAAGCTTTCCTTGCCCACTTCCAAGTCCTCTTTTTTTTTCTTTAAATATCCTGTTGTTCCTTTCCTTCAATATCTCCCAAAGGACTACAACCGTCAAGAATCTCCATTTCACCCTGGCCTTCCTAGTGGGCAGTGGAAAGAAAGAGTCCTTTATGCAGGTCTCAACATTGAGAGGCTCACCCACCTGTGTCCAAAAAGATTAAAGATCCACTCCCAAATAGCAGCTACAAATTGGCAAGAGATTAATAGAATGTGCAACGATTGCTCATTTGTATAACACAAAGAGCAGATATGAGGAGATGAGCATCAACAGGGCCTCCTTTGTTGTAGCATCTCATGGGCATTGATCTTATGGTGATACAATACACCTCCCAATAAAAAGCCCTGATCTTAGGTGGTATAAGTTTACCCCAGATTTCCTTTACTGGAAAGGTGTTAGGAGACAGTAAAGAGGGAGTAAGAATATGGAAGAAGGATACACATGAGAACAAGCAAAATGGGGATGCAGTCTAAAGGTTGATGGATTAAGAGAAATAGAACCCAAGTTAAGGAAGAGGCCCTTGAATTTAAGTGTGGGTTGGGAACGAAGGAAGCAAGTTAATCACCGCCATCCAAGGAATAGGCCTGTGCATTTAAATAGACACACCAACCATTAGGGTGTCTCCGATTAATGGTTTCCAGCATGTTATGACATAGCTTGACTGAGTCTATCGAAGACCTCCATAATGATTCCCTAATAGTGCTGAATTCCTTTCCCTCAATCTACTCATGCCAAGGCCCCCATCTATCTCTTAGTGTACACAGTTTTCCAATCTAGCAAGTGATCCCTTTTAGATTCTCTTGGCTCCTACAATTAGTCCCTCATGAATCTTTTAGTTAATCATGCCAAGGTCCTTGCTGCAAATTTAAGAGAATCTACGAGAGGAAGGGGTCTAAAGTCAAGGCTAGAGATCAAAATTTTTTGAAGTATAGAGGCAAAGCAATTTGTTTGGAAGTCAAGAAGGCATTGGTGACATTACAGGCTTGGTCATCCATCTCTTAAGGCACTCAAGTTACTTGTTCCATCATTGAGTCATTTTTCTTCTTTGGATTGTGAGTCGTGTCAATACAAGAAACACTACAAAGTTCTCTTTATACCTGGAGGTGCACCTCTAGGCCAGGTGGTCCCAAAACGCCCTAAGGCATATGCCAGAGATGCTAACACCTTTGGGGCATACACCTCATATGCTTTTTTCATGAGGCGTGCTAGAGGCATACACCTCATGCGCCTCATGCACATCTTATATAAAAGGGTGGAATAAAAAAAGGAAAGGAAAGGAAAGGAAAAGAAAGTAAAAGAAAGGGAAGGGAAAGAAAAAATCAGATATAAAAAGACCCCCCTTTCAACTAATGTTATGCATCTTTATTCTTCTAAATATAAAAGATTTTTATTAAAAATAAAGAAAAAAAATCAGATACCCGCTTCCTCTTCATCCTCCTCCCCATCCTCCTAACCCCCTCCTCTTAAGGAGGCTTACGCCTCCTTGTGTTTGGGAAGCTTATGCCTCTTGCATTCTGAACTAAGCCTCACGCCTTTAGGTAGTTGAACACCTCGCATCACACCTCCGTGTTTTAAAACATTGGTACATTCAAATGTTTGGGGTCCAAATAAAATTGTGTTAGATAATGGTTACAAGTACTTCATAATTTTTGTTGATGATTATTTAAGGATGACATAGCTTTATTTTATAAAAGAAATAAGTGAATTGTTCTCTATTTTCCAAAAATTTTATGCTGAAATTCATGCTCAATTTGGTGTTCGCATTAAAATTCTTCATTTTGATAATGGGAAGGAATAATTCTCTACACCATTCTAGCAATATTTGGAGCAACATGGTGTAATTCATTAAACTTCTTGTACTTACATACATACCACAACAAAATGGGGTGGCTGAATGGAAGAACCAATGTTTACTTGAAAATGCTAGGTCCATTATGCATGATATGGAAGTTCCCACACAGTTTTGGGGTGATATCATACATGCATCCTATTTCCTCATTAATCGGACGCCCATGTCTATCTTTGAAAGTCATTCTCTATTTTTAGTCTTGTTTCCTACTCTATCTCCTTTTCCTCTTAATCCTAGAGTTTTCAGTTGTTATGTTTTTTATCATAATCCAAGGACTGGGATGGACAAGCTAGATGCACATGCTACAAAAATTCTTAGCTATTCTAGAACCCAAAAAGGGTATAAATGTTACAATCCCAATTCCCAAGTTCACTTTTTTGTCTAGATGTCACTTTCTTTAAATTTGTTCCCTTCTTTACTAGTCTTGATGTTCAACACCTCTGGTTTTTCCTCTTCCAATATATATATATAAAGATGGACGGTCCATGTCAGCATGTCTCTCCTTTGAGAGAAGCTATTTATCTATTTTCTCCATTTTTGCATTTTTTCTTATTTTATTTTGTTTTAAAAAAATAAAACAGTAATCATTGTTCATCTTGATTAGGTTAATAAAGTTGCACACTATTAGAGAGAGACCTTTGGGTTTTCCAAAGCCTCTAATTTTAATGCATGTTATTATTAAATTTAAAAAAGACATTTAACACAAAGAGAGAGAGACCTTTGAGTTTTACAAGGCCTCTTATTTTAATACATATTATTACATTGAACAGAGAAAGAGAGAGAGAATAGTAATAATATAAATCAAGGTTTTTAAAACCGAACCAAACAACAAAAGGTCAAAGGTCCGATTCCCAAGTCGAACAGTCCAACCATTCGAACCAAACAAATGGCCCATTCTAACAAAAAATTAAAAAATAAAAATAAAAATGGCCAAAACCATTGGACGATTCATACAATTTGACTACCCAGGTTTGCTAACCAAATCAATGGTTTTTGGCAAAATAACAGTTATGGGGTAAAACGGATTCCGATCCGGTCCGGTTTTGAAATCCATGATATAAATCAAATAATATATATAGGTTGTGGTTAAACAATAAAAAATTTAGTAATTTAATAATCCACTAAATTTTCACTAAAAATAAATATTAACAAAACTTAGTAAATATTAAAAATGTGTTTCAGTTCCACTTAAAAATCCAACTTAATAAACGCTAATAAAAATAAAAAATTTTAAATATAAAAATATTAATTGATAGTTTAATAATATTATTAGATAACTTATGAGTTGAGACCTTAATAAGCAATAATAAAAGATATTAATTTATAGTATTAAAATACCAACAATCAATTAAAAATCCGAAAAATTATAAAACACCTAAACATAATTAAAATACTAAAAATAATTCAAAATATTGAAAATTAACAATATTTTATGTTAATAAGCATATTTACTGAAAATAATTAAAAATTAGAATTAATAGTATTTTACTACAAAAAAATACCAAAAATTATTAAAAAAATACCCAAGCCATAAACTATTGAAAAAAATTGAAAATTAATTGTATTTTTTATTAACTATGGTATTTATTTAGTTATTTAATTTATTTTTACTGAAAGTAAATGCAAATTAATTTTGCAGTGACTAATATGCAAAAATAAATGATGAAAATACTGAAAATTATTGAAAACTCATATGCAAAGATTACTAAATAATAATTAAAAAACACCAAAACTTAATTAAAAGTCCAAAAATTCTGAAAAACCTAAAGCTTAATTGAAGTACTAAAAATAATTAAAAATTAAATTAATTGTATTTTATTGCAAAAAATACTGAATAATAATGGAAAATAATGTATTTTAATTATTAATAATAATATAATTAACAATAATTATTTTTAAGCTATAATTAATAGTAATTATAATCTAAGCTATAAATACTAGAAAATTACATTTAATTACCAAAAAGTTATATTTAATTACTAGAAAATTCCATTCAATTAGTTTTAGCCAAGAAATTAGCAATAC